CTCACTATGACGTGCGCTGACCACCAGGGGGTGGTGTGGAACATGGCGGGCATTGGCAACCATGCTGCGACCTCTTGCCGGCCACCTGGGGGTGGGGGACAGAAACTGAGGTGTGGTGAGAATGCAGGGTGTCCACCGAGCTCGCTCTCACTCCCCTTGCTACCCTCCCCCCGGGATGCCAGGGCTCAGCGCCAGGGAAGCCCCTGCGCTCAGGTGCCAGGAGTCCGCCCCACACCCACGGGGCCTCTTCCCGGGTGAGCTGGGCCGCAGCTGCCAGGACTGCAGGGGCGGGTCGGGCTCCCCATGGGTTCTTGCGGAGCCGGTCTGTGAGGCCGGGAGAGAGCACGCTGCCTGCCTGGCTTCCTTGCAGCGCTGCTGGGTGGCCCAGAGGCCCACGCTGTGCCTCAGCCTGTGGTGTCTGGCCACACTCACCGCATCTCCACATGGGGACTCGAGCGCCTGGACTCAGGCGGAGGGGGGCGCGAGGGGGCCTGGGGGCCCAGGTGCTACCCAGGGCCCAGAGGTCAGCTGGGACCTGCCCCTCCATGCCAGACACTTGTGCTTCGATGTCCGGCCAGGCCCAGGGCCCGCACCATGCACGCATTTCGTGCACTGGGCCTCCAGTTGGCTAATAAAATTATATAGGTTTCAGGTGTACAATCGTCTGTGTCTTTATTGTGTGTTCACCACCCTCGACAAGTCTCCTTGCATCCTGTTTACCCCCTTTACCCTCCTCCACCTTCCCACCCCCTTCCCCTTACCATACTGCTGTCTGTGTGTTATTTTGCTTAGTCCCAGAAAGGGCTCATTTAAGATACTTGTCATTCGTGTTCACCCAGCTACAAACTATCTTTCTTATGTTGCTTTTCTAATGTTTAATATATACTTGAGGGGGGAAAAAGACAAATAGTAACTACTCAGAAGAAAACCAATATCTCTATCTTAACAATCTTATTGGAGGTTGGTTCATGGTCTGAGATAATGTAGACCAGTGATGGCGAACCTATGACACACGTGTCAGAGGTGACACGCGAACTCATTTTTTTGGTTGATTTTTCTTTGTTAAATGGCATTTAAATATATAAAATAAATATCAAAAATATAAATCTTTGTTTTACTATGGTTGCAAAGATCAAAAAATTTCTATATGTGACACAGCACCAGAGTTAAGTTAGGGTTTTTCAAAATGCTGACACGCCGAGCTCAAAAGGTTCACCATCACTGATGTAGACAATAGACAAATCTTTAGCAAGAATCAAACGGTGCCCAAACACTAGCTTTAGATGAACTGTGTTTTAAATAATGTGGTTTACTAGGAAAAATACACAACAATAAGTCGGGAGGCCATTGTAAATCCAGGTCTCCTATTGCTGAACGTCATGCCTCCTTTGTGAAATGTAGGATTAATCTTCCTGTTGCCGAAAAAGCGGTCCTTCCCGGGGGAGGGATGAGGCGTGACTCTGGAAGCCCCTCGCTGGGACGCTGTGGGCATCGTTTGATCCACCTCCTGCCACCCAGGTGAGCACCGGGGAAACCTGTGCACGGGGGTCACTCCGAGCGACTTGGTGCAGTTTGTCGAGTGAACGTTGATGCCGAGACACAGTTGCCTATTGCGTCTTCTCTCTGGCCGGTTGGCAATAGCCGGCTTCTGCCATGAAAAGGCGTTTCTCTGATTGCAAACTCTGCACCATCACTCAGGCCCCACCCAGTTTCACCCAGCGACACAGGAAGCCGCCCGCCGGCACCTGCGGTGCGTGGGGAAGGCACCTGGAGACCAGGAGTTATGGTTAGGACTTTGCCCTGCAAAACAAGTCCAATATTTCTCCATTAATTTTCCCAAGAAAATAAATAGAGAGCAAATTACTTTATTTGGGTAGATTGTGTATTTAATGCTGGAGTGACAGGAATGCTTGAGGGTCCGGCCAGCGAGCGTTCACTTGTACTTAATGGAGCCGGGGGCTGGGGATACTGCAGACCTTCTCATGGCCTTGATCGATCGATTTCTGGCACACGGACCCCTAGACAGGAACTGTCCTGGGCGAGATTTTATGACCTCAATATAGATCCAAAGCTTTGAATGCACCTTTTGCCTTTATCATAATGTCACGGAGAAGCCCAGAGTGGGCAGGGAGGGCCTTCTGACCCCCAGTTCCTTGTGGAATCATGTGAAGACGGCTCCGTTGCACACAGCCCCTCCATCCGAAGGCCTTGGAGCAGCTCTTAGCCCGTCTGGTGGCCAGGCCTCTAAAAGCAAGTGGGAGGTTCCTCTGCATCCTGAGAGGCAGAGCCATTGCGATGCTCCCGGAGGCCTTGAGAAACAACTAAATCCACTGGTCAGCGGATGCCGAGAACAGCAGGAAGCTGGGGGCCAGGCTGGCGTTAAGAGAGCTGTCAGAGCAACGCGGGCCTCCGCTTGGACAACACCAAGCACACTCACTGAGTGGACTGACTCACTTGATTATTGGGGGGCCCGTCCGTGCACATGTCCAGCAGCCTCACTCAGTTCTTTCCATGAGATACCACTTCTCAAGCCTGAGAGGGGTCAGTGCTGGGCTGGGTCCCGTCGCTCAGTAAATGCCAGCTGTTCTCTCCCCAGGGGAGCAGAGTGATGGCTCTATACCTTGGACTTGCTGGGGACTTAATAAACTTCCAGTTGCCTTTGGTGACTGTGCGGCCCTATTCCGTGGGAAGATGTAGCTGTGCTCCGTGAGAACAGGAATATAAATCAGGGCTCTAAGCACTTAAGATACAACTTCGCCCTTGCTACCTAAACGCCAAGGCAGGGATGCTGACATCCAAAGCATAAGGATCACTTTTTCAAAAATAAGTTGGAGGCCCTGCTGGGGAGCTCAGGTGGTTGGAGCATCATCCCAATACGCCAAGGTTGGAAGTTTGATCCCTCGTCAGGGCACATATAAGAATCAACCAATAAATGCATAAGTAAGTGAACAACAAACTGGTGTGGTTTTTTCCCCTCTCTTTCTCTCCTTCCCCCCCCCCCCTCTCAAATCAATAAATAAAAAGTTAAAAAAAATAGCCCTAGCCGGTTTGGCTCAGTGGATAGAGTGTCAGCCTGCGGACCAAAGGGTCCCGGGTTTGATTCCGGTCAAGGGCACATACCCTGGTTGCAGGCTCCTCTACCGCCCGGGCCCTGGTCGGGGCTCATGCAGGAGGCAACCAATCGATGTGTTTCTCTCACATCAATGTTTCTCTCGGTCTTTCCCTCTCTCTAAAAATCAATGGAAAAAATAGCCTTGGGTGAGGATTAACAACAAAAATTTTAAAAATAACTTGGAATAAATGTATTATAGTCACTTTATTAAAAATTTTTAAATGGCTTTATTGAAGTACAATTGACATAAAAATGCACATATTGCATATACACAACCTGGTGAGTCCGGACATACACATACACTGTGAGAGCATCAGCACAGGCAAGGTCGGACCCGCAGCCAGCTCCTCCAAAGGGGCCTCCTGCCCCTTCTCTCTGGTAAGAACACTTCGCAGGAGCTCTGCGCGCACTGAGGCTGCAGCACACAGCATCGTGCTGTCATCACAGGCACTGCGGGTGCGGAGCTCCAGGGACTGTTTGTCTCGCATAACTGAAACTTCACACCGATTGAACAGCAACGCCTCGCTCCTCCCTCCCTCCCGCCAGCCACCCTCTGCTCTCTGCGCCTTAGAGTTTGGTTATTTTAGGTTCCTCAGATAGTGGGACCCCAAGTGTCTGTCCTTGGGGACTGGCTTA